CAAAAGCGACCCCTGACAGACCCAGCAATTATAGCATTTGTGATAAAATATTCGCAAATGCGAATACCCCTATCTAGCAAAAATGTCGCAATTGCAACTACGAAATGTGCAAATGCGTAGATCCCCTAAGGATAGGCCATCACAATTGCAATCAAGGGTCCACATATGCGAATCCAGAACCTCCGCAAATGCGAACAAAGTTCTACAAATGCAAAAACTGGTCCCCCAGCCCAACATCGCAAAAGCGAGAAGAATCTCGCAAATGCGAGAACAACACACCATCAAAAATTGAACCTTACTCAAAACTCTCTAGAACGTGTTCGAAACTCACTCGAGCCCACGGGGTCCACACCGAACATCAATACAGGTACATAAATATCATACGAACTTGTTCGTGTACTCGTATCATCAAAATAATATCCGAAACCACGAATCGAACACCAAAATACATAGAAATCGCCATGAAACTCAAGAACTTCTAAAAACACAATCAAACGTCAGATTCCTATCAAACCAACTCGGAATGACGTCAAACTTTGCAAACAAGCCACAAATGACAAAACTTACCTATTTCAAGTCCCAAAACTAAAATCTGAACCCGATAGACACAAAGTCAACTCATCATCAAACTTAAAAAAATTCTAAACCTTCAAATTGCCAACTTTCGCCAAGAAGTGTCAAATCAAACTAGGAACCTCTTAATCCAATTCCGAGCATACGCCTAAGTCCAAAATTACTATTCGGACCTAAATAAATCATCAAAACTCCGATCCAATATCAAATACGTAAAAGGTCAAACTTGGCCAACATTTCCTACTTAAGCTTCTAAAATGAGAATCATTCTTCTAAATCAATCCTGTATCGCTCGAAAAATAAAACCGGCCATACACACAAGTCATAATATATAATATGAATTTACTCAAGACCTTAAACCACCAAACGAAATGCTAAAGCTCAAAATGACCGATCGAGTCGTTACATTTATACAATCACTCAAGAATAACTTCTCAAGTGATTTCAGCTTTCAGGTAGCTAGTTCCATAAAGGCATACAGGATCTGTTCAAAATAAATTGATGAAGATTTAGAAAAGGGTGCTCCGATCCTGTGAATTAAGTCAGAAATGAGGGGTCAGACAATTAATTTTTGTACATAATCAAAGAAGAGCGATCGAATCACCTCATTAGCTAATTCAACGCTTAATATTGCATTGGCTATGGTTATGGGATTCTCAGGACCAATTGATATCATTAATTGTCGAAGAAATTAACAAAAAAAGAAAGGATGAAGAATGAAAATCAAAACTGCCTTACATGGATTGGGACCCCCATCTTGTATGGTATATGGCCAGTCATTAATACAAAAAAAATTAATTTATACTAATTATATGGGATACATGCGCAACGTGTGCGCCCAGAGACTAGTTTTACTTATACATATATATAGGCTGAACCAAAGGCGGCAGTGTAGTAGCACATCTGCTCTTACACTTGATCCTTCATTGTGGTAAATGCTGAGAGAGGGGGACAAAACCAAAAAAATAGGATGTTTATAATTTTAACTGATCTTTAGCAGTGTTGATGTTGTTCTTACTGTTATTGTTTTGTAAAGAGATTTTAGCAATATTATCTTGGAAGGAAAACTGGTCACTTCATAGGTGCAAATCTTTGAATTAAAAAGTTCTTTGATCTTTCAAAATATAAGGAATGTCTCTAAATTTGAATAAAGCACAGAAGATGCCTTGTAATGATGACGTTAAGGAAATTAATATTGTAGGAGAATGGACGTCCCATAATACACCTCTTTGGCTTTCAACTATTTTTTTGATATTTGTAATCAATAGAAGAAGAAATTTTAACATGAATAAGGACTCCTAAAGATGCATGAGAGCAAGTTATGTGTGCCGCATTGGTAAGCTGCTTATTAAGGGAGTGTTTGGGAATTTTTCTAAAATATATTTTTAAGGAGATCTTGTTCTCTAATCTTGGGAAGTATAGATCAGGCGTTAAAGTAAAATGGATCTAGAATCTAGTGTGACACACCACCAAAACATCATAAATTTAGGGATGCCACGAGGACCATAAGGTGGGCAAAGACTGGCTTGCTAAACAAGGCTCCCAAACCCAAGGAGTTCACTAACGCGAGGAAGGTGCAGCAAGAAGGGTTAATTTCACAGACGGTCATTTAACTTTTACTGTATTGCATCAAAGTCACTAAACTGTTATTTGTAATGAAAAGTTACTCAACTTTGTCAAAGTATCACTGAAAGTCAACGAATAATTTTCTATAATCGAAAATTCAATTAATTTTGCCTAAGCATCATAGAAATAATGTTATGTTAGTTATCACCATATCTTTTTATTTCCTCCTAAGAATTTTTTCCCCCACTTGCTGCGTCAAAAACTAAATCACAAGCTTTTGATAAAAAAAAAACGAGCAGTACTAGTAAGATTTGTAATATGAATACCCTTACGCTTTGCAGAGATATAAGGCGTCATTTTAGGATTCTATTTCCTAGTACCATGACCAAAATGATCTCCTGCCTCCATCATCTCTTCCAAATTTATGTTCCAATATCTTCTTGTCAGTTTTCCACATACCCCATTTTTTTATTCTTTTTCAAAAAAGAAAAAAGAGAGAGACAAGGAACCCTGAACTGAAATAAATAATGTAACTTTTGTGATACATAGACAGACACCTAAACTTGTTCGAATTTGTCATCTAGCCACCTAAACTAAGCCAACCTCTACTCAAACAGTATCTATCAGAGGGAAAATTCCAAGTCGGGAACTAAAGTAGAAGCTTTTTGAGCTCAAGAGACCAAAATAGGTGTATAAAAAATTGGGCACTATTTTATGTATAGCGCATGTATTACATGTGCTATAGGTTAACAGCCAGTTAACCCGTTAACGTATAGCGCATGTAATATGCACTATATACTTTATTTTTGTATGTAATGACTGCCATGATGATTCACTAATATAGTGCATGTAATACATGTGCAATACACATAGCGCATTTATTACATGCGTAATATGCTCATTTTCCTGACTTTTTGAATGACAACTCTAATAATTGTACGATAAAGCACTTATTTGTATGCACATTTTTTAGGTGCCAAATGTACTTATAGTTCCTTACTTAAGGCCGAATGTTCATTCTTGATAAAATTATTCTTGAGTGAATTTGAACTAATTTACCTTTGTTCTTCAGCATCCTTTATATTTCCCTTCATCTTCATCGATATATACGAAGTTCTCTTTGAATCTTTCTATGACGTTTGATGAGCAAAGAGTTAAGGTTGCGTTATATTGGGGCGGCGAGACTGTGGTGGAGAATAACTCGGTGCACTATAGTTATTCTCCATAATGTATTGTAAAGTTGCCACTCACATTGGAGTACTACATTTTGGTAGCTCTAATTTGTAAAAGAATGAGTGTGAGTAAACGTTCGGTGAATCTTAAGGTAACCGTAAGATATATGTATTCGCTTACTCCACAAGGTGTAGGTTGTTATGTCAAGTTTAACATCGATGACGATGAAACTCTGCAGTAATTTTTAAAGACTCCGGATGAACACAGAGGATATTCTTGTGATAAGCATACTGGAAATGTATGTAAAGTCCGAAGACGTTAATATGACTGATGTTCCGCAAACTACGGCTAACACTCAACCATGAGGTATTCTCGGAGTTATATTATCTATACATGTTCCGTATGAAAGAGTATGGCTTGATCTAAACGTATCTCCACGGGTTAACGAGGAGCGAGGACACAACTTCTCGTCAATGCAGAATCATAGAGGGTTGCTAAGTTTATAGAATTCACAGGCCGAGTGGTAACTTGCAACTTACCATATTGTAGTATACCTATTTGTTTTATGCGTATAATAATAATAATAATAATAATAATAATAATAATAATAATAATAATAATAACTCGTATTTCTTTCAAAAGAGTTACCGACCAGATATGAATTTTACTAGTTATGAACCAACTAACAGTGGGAATCTACCTACTTTTGGAGGGATGGATCATGCTGGTCCATCGTCGAGTCATCAACAATTTGATAATGTGTATCATGGGCTATCTACAAATTATGAATGGTATGTTTACGCATTAAAATTAATATATTCTGTTAAGATGTACAAATATCAATTATTCGACTGGTTGTGCAGGGAAAATGAGCAACATGACGGTCTTGCCCTAACTCAGTTGAGTGATGACGATATTATAAATCAGGATATGGTAGATGCACAGAGTGAGGAAGATGATAGTGTCTATGACAACAACGCTGATGAGTCAAGTGATGAAGCACCCTTCTCACATGAGAGTGAAAATGAGGAACTACCCTTCACAGATGAGAGTGACAATGAGCAATCAGATTTGACGATGGACCATGATGCCACCACTCAACATGCTCCGTATATGCAGACTCCACCTACCGTTAGACCAACGGTGTACGAGTCGCATGTGTCATTTCATTCAAGGAAGATTCCCTACCTTGATCACTTGCCAGGTATGCCAGATGTGAATGCCCTCAAAAAAGATCTTTATGAAATTCGTACAACAATGTGAGATGAGAGTAGACCAACGGATTGAAACTTGATTGTAAATCGTTCATTACTTAGTACTCAAATATGAATTTGAAAGTTGCTTTTCTAATTTACATTGATATTTGAATCCTTCCTTAGTTATATTTAAATAAAGTCTTTTGATTATAAAATCGAATGAAGATAGGACTTATATATCCAAAAGAAGGAAAAAATTAATAATAAAAAAATTAGTTAATTTAAAATTTTAATTATTAGGAGAATAAATTAAATTACAGTTTAGTTTAATGTATAATTTATATTTAAATGATAAAAAAGACAAAAATATTTCGTTAATAACTTCGTGATTTTAATATAGCTAGATTATTACTTTTATGAAATTTTTGCTTTTGTTTTTCGACCCCACATTGTCTCATACTATTTGGGAAAGGGAAAGGGGTCAAATATTTGGTTAAAAAATACAATTTAGCAAGGTGGACGCCACTTCTCCCCCTCCGCCATCACTGCCACCATCGGTAGATTCCTCCTCTCTTAGGCAGCAAAGTTCTATGCGTACTCTTCTCCAGTGAAATCGAAGTTGTAAGTTTCCTCTAAGATTCCTTCTCTCTCATGGAAAGGAAATTGAACAAATTCCTATTTATGTTGCCATCTCTTAATCGAGTTTCTTGTAATTTCTACTTAAATATGTTCTACTTTGTGTAGACGATTTTATATGGAATGTGTTTTTCCGTAAGTAAATTTACTCCTCCTTTTTCCAAATTAATTGTCTTACTTTTATTGTGAACTGGCCCAAATGCTTCATTCACAATTCAATACTTGTTTCAGTGTTTTGGGTTTTGGAAATAGGATTCAATACTTGTTTCAGTGTTTTGGTTTTTGGAAATAGGGAATAACTTTTGTTTTGAGTAACTAATTCTGTGTTTACACCTCTGAAATATTTTTACAGATTTTAATCTTTCCTTAATTTAGTCGTGTCTAAGCAAAATGAAATTTCACATATATTGAAAAAGATAAAATTATATGCAATTCTTATTTGCTTTTCATGTGATAATGGGTCTGAAGTTGTTGAGTATATTGATTTTCCTTTTGACGAATCCTAATAAATGTTTTTGAGAACTGATATTATGGAAGAAGGAGAAAAAGATATTATGGCCTTAAAAATGGAATTTTTCATATTGCGATTAGTTATCAGCCCTTTGAAAGCAATTTTTACTGTTAAGTAATTTACTGAATATTTTTGCTTTCTTATCATACAAAAGTATTATCTATCATGATTATTAATTACTTAGATTTGTAGATTATATCATAGAGTCCAATAGTCATGGTGGTGTTGATGGTAATGGTGGAGGAGGGGGAGGGGGAGCACTGCTAGTGGTGGAAGAAGAAGTGGGAGAGGGAGGGTAAAATGGATTGGGCTGGTGAGGTGGCATGCCACGTGGTATCCACCTCACCAAGATGTCAATGCTATGTGGGATTGGGTGTCCACCTTAGACAACTCTAATGGAGGAGGGGTATATTTGAGCTGCTAGTATAACATCGGGATATTTTTGAACGGATAGTATAATGGAGGGTAAACTTAATCCATTTCGCAAAGTAGATGGGTAAATTTGACCTTTTTCCCTTTGGGGAAAGACGAGTCCAATAAGTTAGTTGAAAAGAAAATTATCAGGAAATGGGTGGCTTGAGTTGGGCAAGTATTTTACTGGGTTCCGTTTGACGGTATTTGTTAGCTTGGACTAAAAGTGCACCTATTTTGCAAAGTTAGAAGGTTAATAGTGCTTCAAGTTAAAGAATAAGGACTATTTTTTTCATTTAAAGCCTAAAATTGAGGAATTCTTCGGCTTTTTTTCTCTATAAACAGCAGCATTTGTGAAAATCTCCCGGGACAGAGGTGGGCTATAATTTCGCATAGCCGCCTGCCGATATTCATGTATTACAGTTAGTGAAGGTATGAATTCATTGATCATTTCCATCTTCTTCTGTTTTAGTCAGCCTTTTAACAAATATTTGCTTATAGTGTTTAGGAGATTCCGTTGTGTTTATGGTTTTTACAGTACGTATTAGTTCAATACTTTAAACAAAAGTGTTGACTGATCCCCATGTGGATCTATGGGTGGATAAACTAGGGGTCCTAATTAACAAATTTGATCCTAAACCTTTGGACTGTTACTTTTTTCAATCTCTACCAATTTTATCATCCTGTTTATTCATAAAGATTAAGCATTTTATTCTGTATCAAACATTTGAAAACTGTGACATTTCCCCACGTATTCTAGAACAAGTTCTGATTTACTCATTTAAATTTGTTTGTTCTTCTTAATTATGATATAATAGTGGTTTTAAGAGAGAACTTCTAATAAGCTAGGAGTATTAATTTAGCAGAGGGTTGAGGTGCAAAATGTATGTTCTCTCAAATTGTTAGCTTCTTTCTCTTAGAAAACTGTAATGATGTAAAGGTTTAGCTTGATTGTTTTTTTTTTTGAAATGTGTTTCCAATAGGGTTCAACCCCTTGCCACCAAGGAGGAAAGTTCCACCTTTTGCCAATGGCACCTTAGCATCATTTTAAGTTTAGCTTTATTATTTTTTTGTTGAATATGCTTTCTTTGATCATGTTCTTTTGAAAATCATCCAACAATTGCCATTGAATATGTTTTTTCTTGAAAACTAGTTATCAAAGGAGGATATGTTTTTCTTGAAAAGTGAAAACCATCTAGGAGTTTACTTGTATTTCTGTTCACTAATCACTTTTATGTTTTTGAGTTTCTTAGCTTATTTCATATGTAAACTAACAAAATTTCTCCACTGATGCAGTGAACTCGCATGTATGATTTCATTAATTAAGTGGTACAATATTACTTCTCTAAGAATATTAACTAATTAGATGATTGAACTCTTTCTTTATGTTTGAGTGCTTTCCACCAATTTGGATTACAGGTCCATTTTTTTAATCTTGAAAATGTTTTTACCTTTGCTGATGGGACATGTGGTGTTTACAATGCTTGAAAATTTTAGTATGCAGTAGAAATTATGTACTTAATATTCTTGGCGATGAACCTGCAACTTTTGTCAAATTCCAATTTGAAATCAAGAAGCTAGGTGGTCAATGGAATCGTGAGCAGCAGAGGAAGTAACTGAGATCAGCATCAGAGTTGTTCTTCATTTCTTGATTTGTTCTCGAAGTAAGAATGAGGATAGTGGGATTGACTGGAGGAATTGCTTCAGGGAAGAGCACTGTCTCCAATCTTTTCAAAGCTCATGGTATTCCTGTTGTTGATGCTGATATTGTAGCTCGTGTAACTACTTTTTCCTCTTGATTTATCTGTTCTTTTACTAGGTTTATTTAGTACATCAAATATAAAGAGTCTCAAAATATTATGTTTAATTAACTGATGGATTTGGGTTCTATCTTCACAAGTAGGGGTAAGGTCTAGGTCTGCGTACACATCACCCTCCCCAGACCCCACTTCTAAGATTACACTGGGTTTGTTATTGTTAACTGTTGAATTTCGGCATACCACTAAATTTTGTGTAAATTTTTGGATAAAGCTCTTTACTAACAAAATATTAAATTATGTAGAACGTTTTGAAGAAAGGAACTGGTGGTTGGAAAAAAGTTGTGTCTGCATTTGGTGAGGACATCTTACTGGACAATGGAGAAGTTGATCGTGCAAAGTTAGGTCAAATAGTATTCTCTGATCCAGGAAAGCGTCAGCTTCTTAATAGGTAAAGTTTGTTATGAAAATGATCCACGCATGATTAGTTCTGTATTCAGTATTTCAATTGGATACCATAGTCAATCCAAAAGAAGTGGAAAGTAGTACTTCCCCCTATTTTTCTTATTTTCATCAGAGTAACATTAATAAAAAAGGATTCAGGGCCATTCCTTTAAAACAATCAAAACTTATGAAGAAGAAAGGCTATGCATCTGAAAAACCTCTTCCTATAGCTGATTCTGGTTTGCTATGCTGTGATGAATTTGGAGTTTCCTTGAGATTCCTCATCAAAACCAATTTTGGGAGTGAGATTAAGGATGAACTTGGAGAAATAGAAACTACAAGTAATCACTAGATTATCAAACTTTTGTCTTTCAGAATATTAAACTAAATGTTTCTAACAACTGTTATCAATGACATTTGTTTGACTTTGGTCAGTAAAAAGTAATCCTCTTTTTTGGATTGGCGGATTTAGTAGCTCTTTGAAAAATGAAGGCCAATAAATCCCTCGTGGTTGAAGCTATTTCCATTCATAAAGGCATGTGAAGATAATTGCAAGATTGCTGCTTTCTTGTTAGACGAGATTCAGTTTAAGTTGTGCTAAAAGAACTACATTTGCTGTAAGAAAGGATAGTTTATTATCTGCACTCAATCTTGAGGAGAATGCATTCTGCAGAAATGCCATTAAGACCAAATATGACCTCCAAAGCCCATGAACTACCCAAAAAAACCCTCTTCTCACCATGGTCATGGAGTTTGGAAGCACATCAGCTCTATGGAACAAGTTTCACCCTCTTGCTAGCTTTCAAGTTGGGGATGGAGTAAGATAAGCTTCTGGAAATACATAAGGCTAGGTTATTCTCCCAAAAGCAATTCCCTCAACTCTTTAACATCTCCTCCAGTCCCAAAGCAGTAATTGCAGACATTAAATCTTACTAGGGCTGGAATAACTATTAGGTGTGGACTTGGAGGGTGCTCCCTCTTCTAGAGCTCCTCAACAGTTGTATTGCCTTTCAACCAGACAGGCAGACACCCTGCTTTGGAAGGGAAAATCCACTTGTCTCTTCTCCATTAAGTCTAGCTGCAGCACTTTGACTAAACCCCCTTCATCCTTCTAATTGTGGCCTTGGAAGAAAATCTGGAGAAATAAAGCTCCCTATAAAGTAGAATGCTTTACATGGCTGGTAGCAAAGGAGACCTACCTTCTCATTGTGCCGTTTTCGGAATTTTACAGTGTCAACACCAATTTCGCCTTTGTTGAGTACACTATAGCTTGCGAGGTCAATCCAATGGCAATGTAGCAATAGTTTTCAATTCTGCTGAAGTTGGCACTCAAAAAGATCTTGGCTTCTTGAGATACAAGATAAGGAGCAGCAAAATGTACTTCAATGACAAAATATGTTAAGCTACTAATTTATTTCTTTTTTTTTGTCTAAATAATATTTTTGCCTAATTTTTCAGATTGCCCAAGAGTTGAATTTGCGCAATATCACATAAAAGATTTTTGTTCCAATGTAAGGTTTTGAACTCGGAATTGTGTTTGCACAGGTTGCTAGCACCATTTATCTCACGTGGCATTTTAATGGAAGTTTTGAAGCTATGGATGAAGGGTTACTCCATTATTGTTCTTGATGTTCCTCTTTTGTTTGAGGCCAAGATGGATAAGTGGACTAAACCCATTGTTGTCGTTTGGGTTGATCCTGAGACGCAACTGCAGCGGCTCATGACGAGAGATGGATCGATGGAGGAGGAGGCCAAGAGCAGGATAAATGCACAGATATCACTGGATCTTAAGAGATCAAAGGCAGATATTGTGATTGATAACACTGGCACACTTGAGGCTTTGCATGAAGAATTCCAGAAAGTGTTAATTCAGATTACAAAGCCCTTGACTTGGACCGAGTTGATGCTCTCAAGAAAGGGAGCTTTTTTGGCGTTGTTCTCCATTTTTGTCGGTGTTGCTATTTGCCAGAAAAGTTCATGAAGGTAATATCTCACATAATTTGATCCAACACTATGCATGCATCTCTGGATGGCAGAAGAGTTACTCCTTAATCGAGTACTACTGTGTATGTACTGTTTATTTTTTTAAAAACTGTATGTACTTCCAACATGAGTGTTTGTGCTTTATTAGATACTCGTTCAAGATGTTAAAGTGAAGTACGATAATTTGATTATACATTTGGACTGATTCATTAAAAGCAGGGATTATGATACATTTTGGAATTTCTTTGGAGCATCTGGATCTGATGCTTATTGAAATAAACCCCCAGATACGGTTGGCACATGTTCATGTTCTTCAAACAAGATGTTGCATTCTGAGATGTCAAATTTACTGAATCTGGCAACGTGACACTAGCTTGATCAAATTTTCTTTTTTCTGTTGAAAATCAGTTCTCCTTCCAGTCACTATGCCCGATAAAAATCATTTTCCTAATAGGATATAGTCATGTGCTGTACAAAATAAAGAAGACCCCAATTGATGCTTGGTTTATGATGGCATCACAATTTGCTGTTCCAATGTTGTCTTGCTTCCTGTTTCCCAGTGACTCCTTAATTTTAGCTAGAGGCATGTAATGTCTCCCAGGTTTTGCTTGCTTATTAATGTTATTCTGGTTAATTTGTTAAAGCCTGATGTGTTTTTCAGTTAAAACATCTTGGAGAACTAAAGATACCCCTAACTGCTCAATCGTGGAATTTTCCTGAATGCCCTAAAGCTAATTTTAGAAATGTCTACTTTGGTTTAGAGTCCAACAGAGGTTTATTGGCTTATACCAATGACTGACTTCTATTGAACTAAAAAGGTTGGGAAGAAAAATGCTGCTGGGGGTTAAGGATATCTTGCTTGCATTATTGCTGGCTGCTATACTTGTTTGTACTATTTCGTATTGCAAAATTCCTGATTCTTTGTGAGGAGATCTGTAGTTTGCAAAATCTTCAAGGAAGAAATGAGGNAGGGGGGATTAGTCAGTTAGAGGTTGGGCGACTGAATGATGGTAGTAGTAGTAGCAGTAGTTGGGCGACTGAATGATGGTAGTAGTAGTAGCAGTAATGTATCATCAAGAAAATGAAACCATTGACATGTGTTATTTAATATGTATTTTTCGTTCATCTTCTGAGACATTAATCTAAGAGGTGGCCTAACCTCCATCGTATATTACTCTTATGATCCAAATATAATGGAATGTGGTCGTAAATCTGATAATCACGCACGGCCCTGCTAAAAATAAAAAGCGGAAATTAGCATAACTTATTGAGTTGTCTACCTTTAAACAACAACATACCCAGTCTTATCACCGTGGGGTCTGGGGAGGGTAGTGTGTACGTAGACCTTACCCTTACCTTGTGAGGATAGAGAGGCTGTTTCCAATAGACCCTCGGCTCAGGAAAGCATAAACACCACATTAATGAAAATATAGACAAGAAGGGGCAGTACCAAAAAGTCATATAAAAGCAGAATAAGAACAACAAGATATTAAGGTAATCAACAATGAAAGAAAACTACGGTTAGTCATAAAAATCTACTGCCCACAGAAAGCGAGACTGCGTGCCAACAGTACTGTTATGAACACTCTAGACTATTTACTCTACTACCCTAATCCTCAACCTCCATACCTTCCTATCAAGGGTCATGTTCTCGGTCAGCTGAAGCTGCGCCATGTCTTGCCTAATCACCTCTCTCCACCTCTTCTTTGGCCTACCTCTACCTCTCGGTAAGCCCTCCAATGTCAACCTCTCACACCTCCTCACCGGGGCGTCTGTGTTCCTCCTCCTCACATGACCAAACCACCTAAGCCGCGCTTCCCGCATCTTGTCCTCAATAGGGGCCACACCCACCTTGTCGCGAATAACCTCATTTCTGATCCTATCTAACCTGGTGTGCCCGCACATCCATCTCAACATCATCATCTCTGCTACCTTTATCTTCTGGACATGAGCGATCTTTATTGGCCAACACTCAACCCATACAACATCGTTGGTCTGACCACCACTCTGTAGAACTTACCCTTAAGTTTCGGTGGCACCTTCTTGTCACATAAAACACCAGAAGTGAGTCTCCATTTCATCCATCACGCCCCAATACGATGTGTGACATCTTCATTAATCTCCCCACCCCCCTGAATAATAAACCCAAGGTACTTAAAACTCCCTCTCTTAGGGATGACTTGCGAGTCCAGCCTCACCTCCCCTTCCCCCTTGAGTCTCGCCACTGAACTTACACTCCAAGTATTCTGTCTTGGTCCTGCTCAACTTAAAACCTTTAGATTCCAGGATTTGACTCCATACCTCTAATTGCGCGTTCACACCGTCTCGCGTCTCGTCAATCAATACAATATCGTCTGCAAATAGCATGCACCACGGCACCTCCCCTTGGATGTGGCGCGTCACTACGTCCATCATCAGAGCAAACAAAAAAGGGTCGAGTGCCGACCCCTGATTCAACCCCATCATAACCGGAAAATGGTCCGAGTCCCCACCCACCGTCCTCACTCGGGTCTTTACTCCATCATACATGTCCTTAATCAACCTAATGTAGGCAACAGGTACACCTCTAGCCTCCAAACATCTCCACAAAACCTCCATCGGAACTCTATCGTACGCCTTTTCTAAGTCGATGAACACCATATGCAAGTCATTTCTCTCCCTATACTGCTCCATCAATCTCCTAACAAGGTGGATGGCTTCTGTAGTCGAATGCCCTGACATAAACCCACATTGGTTCTCGGAAATAGACACCCTCTTCCTCACCCTTAGCTCTACCACTCTCTCCCAGACTTTCATAGTATGGCGAATCAGCTTGATACCCCTATAGTTATTGCAATTTTGGATCACCCTTGTTCTTGTATACAGGAACCATCGTGCTCCACCTCCACTCTTCAGGCATCTTCTTCGTTCTAAAAATGACATTAAATAACCTAGTGAGCCACTCCAAGCCTGCCTTGCCCGCACTCTTCCAAAACTCCACCGGGATTTCATCCGGCCCGGTCGCTTTGCCCCTACTCTTCTTACACATAGCCCCCTCAACCTTTAAGTTGACTAATTTGGGAAGCTAGGAACTAATCTTTCTGTGTTAATGGTAATTTGATTGATCTCAAAATTACTGCAGCAAAAGCACAGTCAGAATGGAATGAGTTTTATTTTGTCAATTCTGCGATGTTCATGCCATTCCTGTTGTCCCTGCTTCCTATTCTGGTCTTAATGATACCTATTCTAGAGGTTATTGTTTTTTCTTCTTTTTTTTACGATGCACGGGTGAGCTAGTCTGACAAATTTTGGCAGATATCTCTGATTGCTAAAGCATTGGTGTTTGTGATGCTTTTTTTTAGGGCTGAAGATTCGAATTGTAATGCTCTGCATCTCCTATGATGTTAAAAGAGTTGAATGATATACTGAATATGAAGATGGAGAGCTAAATATCCTGCAGGATGGTGACAGTTAGATAGCATGATGTGATCTAGTTCATTAAGAACCAAATGAGTTTGCTATTTGGTATTCTAGAAATGATCGTATACCCGATCAATGTACACAATATGTTCATTTCTAGACAAACTCAGGCCTTTGCACATCCGTTTATTAATTGAACTCTACTACTATGCATAAGAAAATGGACAAAGCCGGGCTACCAACAAAATCATCATTGCCTTGATTTAATCAAGAAGGTCTAGAGACTAGAGGACAGACAGCCCACAAGGTTCTTGACTCGTGAGGTATTCCGATCCATTGGTTGTAGGAGATTTTGATACTACTGAATTATAGTCGCTGCATTATGATTAGGACTATAATACCTGTAACTTATATTTATTTTAAGTCACACTACAGGAGGGACTTGGTTTAAGTGGCAATAACATCCAAAAATGCATAATACATTTTGTTATAATTAACTGACGTGTTTCACATAGATACAAGCTGTGGTCCTCAGAACAGTATTCTAGACATATTCAATAAGTAATCAGTGGAGAAAAAGAGATGCAAAAAGGTAAACACAAACCTTTATTTCAAGGGATAAATGTAGAAACTAATTTAGCCAAACGCTGAGAGAAATTTATTTTCAGAGTGGAAGCAGGTGCAGCTGTGACAATTGTTTCCTTTTGAGTAGACAATTTGATCTTTTTTTCGTAATTAAGTTCCAAGGGGATTTATAAGTGCATTTTGAAAGTAAAAAAGGTGAAATTTGGAAATGGTAAAACGTATTCAAACATATAAAATTTACCAAAAGACGAAATATTGGGTAACGTAGATAGCATGCGAAATTTGTTAAACTCCATCAAAAAGCATCTACCATCCATAGCAAATTCTAACTTTGCATCTAAAAGGGTAACTGGACATTAGGTTATATTTCAAGACACGTATTAACAGGAACATATAGAATACAATCTCATGTACTGGCATCACTATCAAGCAAACACATATTTACTTGACATCTAACATCTTAGACTAAAGCCTGCACTAGTTCTAATCTCCACGGGAAAGCAAAAATCCAAAATGGAACCACTGCTTGAATCCGCTCCTTCCTTGGATACCTGCAAAGAATAGAAGAGATTAAAGAAAGGCTACTGCAAGCAGAATGTTATGAAGAATCACCAGGCTGAAATTAAGTCCATAATCCAACTGAGGGAAGACAGACACGTTTGTCCCAAGCTCCAAAATATCCAATTGTTTGTTAAATCGTTAGTAAGATAGCAATTACAACTACTCAAGTGTTGCCTAACGTGAAATCATTACAGATTCAAAACCTACTAGTTCATGCATGATACACAGCAGAGATTGAATATAAGTAACAGGACACAAACCAAGCTACAACACGAGAGCATTTCAAACTCCAAAATCTTAATTTCATGAAGTTACTTACACTCCTCTGAGCAGTAACCAGAATATCCCAAACTGCTGATTATGTCGTCCCTTCAAGAGTAAAAAATGGAAATTCTCTTTAGTTCTAATCATTAAGACAAGAATGATAGTAAGTGTAGCAACTAGTGATCCGTTTCCACTGGCCTACCAGGTCGTCTCAGTTAAAGAAATTTAAACATTACGATTAGTACTTGAAAATCTCACTTCTTCAGATTTAAAATAAAAAGAACCAGAAATTACCGTTAAATTTATAACAGAACACTATCTCAATTTCATGAGTTTCATATAACCCTCTTAGCAATAACCTTAATATCCCAAACTTCGAATCATGCCCACCGTCCAAAAGTGAAAAGTGGGAGTTCCCTTAATTTCTTAACACAAGAATAATAG